GATAGGTAACTGGATTTTCTCTTCGGGCTCCACCCCTTTCCTTTCTCCATTCCCCCTCTCTTTCCTCTCCCCCCCCCCCCCTCTCTCTCTCTCTCCCCCTCTCTCTCTCTCCCTCTCCTAAAAGAGGGTTTTTCTGTGTAGCTCTAGCTGGCCTGTAACTCACTTTGTAGACCAGGCTGGTCTCAAATTCAGAGATCTCCCAAATACTGGGATTAAAGGCATGTGCCACCCCCATTTTCTTTCTCCCCTGGCCCCAAGACAGGATTTCTCTATGTATTCCTGGCAGTCTTGGTACTCACTATATATATGTATACAACTCTGGCCTCAAACTCAGAGATCTGCCTGTCTCTGCCTCCAGAGTACTGGGATTAAGTTTTTCATTTCCTTATTGTGTGTGTGTGCGCAGACGTACAAATGGAGTCGGGATAGCACTCACGCCATGAAGCATGTGTGATAAACCAGAGGACGATTTTAGAAATTCAGTTCTTTTTCCATCATGTGGGTCCCAGAGATCAAACTGAGGTCATCAGGCTTGGCATCAAGTGCCTTTCCCTGTCAAGCTGCTTCTTTGGCCCCAGGAAAGTATTAAAATAAATGCCATGAGTTTGGGGACATGGCTGGAGAGATGGCTTAGTTGGGAACATGCCTCACAATGAGCATGAGGCCTGGAGTCTGGTCTCCTGTACCCACATAAGCTGCTTTGCATAGTGGTGTGCACCCTTAATTTTAGCAATGGAGAGATGGAGTCAGGGGATCCCTGCACTATGCTGACCAGTCAGCCTAGCTGAATGATGAACCCCAAATTCGGTGGGAGACCCTGCCTTGAAAAGTAAGGTAGAATGTGGAACTGGGGAGGAAGTTCAGCTGTTAAATGTGCACACTGACTTTCGGAGGACCAGCGTTCATTCCCAGCCCCCTGTTGGCAGGCTTACAACCCCCTGTAACTTCAGCTCTAGGAGATCCAGTGACCTCTTCTGACCTCTGCAGGCACCTGTAGTTATGCGCACATATCCCCCACACAGGGACACATGCAAACACAATTCTAAAAAATGGTGAAATGCCAAAGAAGCCAGCCCCTGCTGTCCTCTGGCCTCTGTGCTCTGTGTGTATACCAGCCCCATGTATGCATACAGGCATGCACACTTACAAAGGCAAAAACACCTTATTTTTGAAGGCTGTGAAGTTTAGGCTGGCCTCCAATTTGCGATCCTCCTGCTTTACCCTCCCAGGGTGCTGGGATTGTAGGCCATCCTATTGCTTGGCATTTCAGCAATTTGTAGAGCGGACTCGTGACTATATCCCTGTGGCACCTCTGAAGCCCCACACTGTCCTATGTTTCCTGGATGCTAGCAAGAGATATACATAAGGTAGTCATATTTTTTTTTTTATTTTTATTTTATTGAGAATAAGAAAAAAAAGTTTCCGCCTCCTCCCAGCCTCCCATTTCCCTCCCCCTCCCCCACTCTTCTCCCCCTCCCCCCTCTCTTCTCCCCCTCCCCCCACTCCTCTCCCCCTCCCTCTCCTATCC